AAACGTCTTGGAATGTACCAAGTTCACGCTCCAATTGTGAGAACAGCAGAAGACCTCGGGCAAGGTGGACCAGGCTATGTCGCCATGACAACACGACGAATTTTGGGTAATGAAGTTAGACCACTTAAATACAGAATAAAGATATAAAATCTATTATGATGCGTCCTGACTCTCCATTTCTAGTCATTAACCCTTCTGTAAACCTGATAGTGTAAAACTGTAGTTATCTCAATGAATCAGATGGATCGCTGATAGTTGAATACGTAAAACTAGCATTTGTTTTTTTGGAGGAAAGGACAGCAAATAGACAGATGAGCCATTCGCGATCAAACAGTCCAACAGAAGAAGCCTTCTCGCGTATCAACTCAGCTCCGAAGAAGGCCATACAAGACTAATTGGACAAATTCCAAAGCCATCTGTCTCTGTCAGCATTACTTTCTATAATTCTCCTCAATCGTATTGTTCTACGTCAACCTCGACAACAACACATGCGACTAGAGGAGAAGCAAAGTCATATTTCTGAATTCTGCTAATCTATCTCACTGCAGAGATCGTTTTTGTAGAAATTCCAGCTAACAATGGCAATCGCGATAACGTAGGGGTCCCACTCCAACATACCACAAATATTATATCGGCAATACAGAATCATTGTGGTGTATCACCCCAATTCGTTTAAGCTGATGAAGGACTGGTAGCTGCATTATTCCACAATAATAGGAGTAGAACTTGTATTTCCATTGAATTTTACATTTCCTTGCTTTCCAAAAGGCAATGTAATTTTTTCGTGGAAAAAATGTAACTACCATTTCCCTTATCACCTTAGATGAAATTGAATGAATGGGTCACATATATCTGATTTACTTGCAGTCTCGAAAGCCTACTTACAAATGAAAAAATCTACACAATCTGATTGTAAGAACTTTTATGATATAAAACAAAAAAGAACAAATTTGCTATTGTTCAGCCAAATGTGGCTCTATTTTCAATCATTCGTCTTCCTAGTAAACCTGATGCTTCGAAGCGATACTTATTTCAATAAATAGTCCGCTTTAATCCAAAGACAATTTCATATAAATAACCTGGAAAGGAATCAACTCACAAGTTCCAATAATGATTGCAAAAAGTTCATTTAGGCGCGATGAACCTCATGTTTAATGCCGTTAAACGGACAATAAAATACTATTATTAAGATTTTAGTATCTTCTAATATAGAGCAGAGGTCATTTTTCTGTCTATTACTTGGGCGAACCTATGATTTTATAAGAATAAAAGTTGAACTTCAGCAACCGACTCTGGCCACCTCGTACGACTGGCTACCCACTTTATGCACTGATTGATTTCTATTTACTCTGATGAACAATATAAATAATTGAAGATGTGAAGACCAAGATGTTGTGGCCTCGGGTATGATTAAACTAATAACCTATTCTCTAAAAACTGAAATCAGACTGTAGGCAAGACTGGTATGAGACCTAGAGCCAAACAGCCGCATTTGTGATCCACGTTTCCCTTCTAAAGAAACTATTCATATATGCACATTCACTAACCAAACATACTGCAATTTAATTCACAGCAAAGACGCATTTACACATCAATAAGCAAATGTGGGAGTCAAAACCAGAATAAAAGACAGTATTATATATATTTTTATTTGTTTTACACATTTTTAAAACACCTAATTATGACATTTTTCGCTTCTGTCTAGGAAAATTTGCCGGATAACTTGCATATTTTGGCATGCGTTTCTATGTCTGAATAGGAAAGACTCAAATAATCAGCTTACTCGCAACGAACTGGTCCTATTTTCCGCGATCAAACCCAGTTTCTCCTTTGCAGAATCATCTTTTGTCTTTAGTCTCGAGCCTCATTATTAACGTGATATCAAAAGGTTCCTGAAGAGTCGACTAACTTTGAGGATACTATGCAGGTCTGTTTGATTGTTTACGCTTTGACGATGCAAAGGTTATTGGCGTACTTGGTGCGGTGGATTCAAGAGGGTTACGTCGACCGAGGGGAACCTCAACTTTGGTAGTAACCCAACCGATGAAAAAGATGAAGTAAAACGGGGAGAAAGAGAAAGGGACATAAGGCATGGCCCCTGGAGCCGGACTGATTTCATGAAGAAGAGTGAATGGAACAAAGGATGCGCATGGTAAAGTCTCAGACTTGGAAGCTGAGAAGGAGGAACGGAGTGTAGACGCCTGTGAAGGTGTGCATCTGACGGAATCGGCGCTGAGTTGCATAGCCTGAAACTTTATGTGGCGATATGAGGTAGTTTGCTGGACTTTGTTGAAATGCGCTTTTGGCTGGGTCCAAGCGAATATCAGTTCTTTCCGAATGGTCTGTGCTTTCGGCACAGCATAGGTTTGTCAACCACGCAAGTGAGACGAGAACGAGGACGACAAAATCGCTGAGGCCAGGAGTTCCTCTAACCAAATGCTTTTCAATCCGGAGATTGTTGGCGAGATGACCTGATCCGTGGGCCATTTGTCTGCGAGAGGCAATATTTAAGACAAGGATTAGGGGGTCGAGATGCTGTTCGTGGTCCTCTGCTAGTCTGGAAGCAGACTCCAAAAGGAGATTAATAGGCTCGTCGACTATGATGACAAATACAATTGGTGCTAATCGAAATTCCAACTGTTATTGTGGCTTGTTGAGCCTACTTCCATTTCGAGTGAAAGTGTTGGGTGAAGAGATTCGAAGGTCGGTTCCACCAGAAGACGAAGAAGACTGGAAGATTCATGCTGACGCTGTTTCCAAGGCGATCTCCTTCGATTCCGGTGAAAAGGTGCTAAGCTTTCGTGCGTCATATGACGAACATCATCAGAGTGAGGTATCATCGTCACGACAATATATTAGGTCTGGCTTGCCCTGAAAGTAACGTCTGCCGCTGTGACCAACGACTCCGGTTAAGGTCCCATCGAGGATGCTGATGAGACCCAGTCGAGGTTGAAACTGCAGTCAACCCTCTGAGAAACTAGCGTTTTGGTATCAAGGCTGAATGGAAATATGAAGAGCAAGATATTGTGGTCACAGTCTTCTTTCTGTTTATACAATGGATCTGGCCTCATTTTTACAACTTGGTCGAGTTGTCAGGGCGACTTAGTTGGACACGCCACGTGTGCATACTATACTATACTACTTATCATAAGTCCTAGCATCGGACCGTGGACTTGGTACACTTCCAGACGGATAAAGTCTCTTTGATGAGTTGTAGCTTGGAGCTGAGAGCGGCAAGACTCATTGACGAGGCAAATTATGCTGCTGGCGAAATGTCTAGGAATGTACCAAGTCAACGGTCCAACTATAGGAATTATCATACCTACTACCGCAGATGACCTCGAACAAGGTGCCGAAATCATGTTACCCGGACAACACGACTAAATTGTGAAAATGAGTTCACACCACTTCAAGCCTAACCAAAGTTCCCTGGAATCATGAGGTCTGCTATGCTGATTGCGGGGAAATTCACCAATCATTTACTCGTCACACATTGGGAAATAAGATGAATACAATCCTTATTGGAGGTGTGAAGGGTTAATTTTGCTTAAGGTGTGGCGGCATGTAGAGCGGAAATGTACTAAAGCTCAAACGCCTCGTGTCAACATAACAGAAATGGGGTAATAGGTCCAATGCAACACCAATGGATTTATTGATGGCGCGGAGAAGTGTTCAGTTGAGTCGCTAATACTACTTCCTACTCAGAAGTAGTCACAGAAGATTTCCGCTGTGGTATTTTGTAATAAAGTTAGAGCGCCAGATGCGCTTCCCATCTCTATTCCATTTTATGCGTTTCGATTTAAGCTATACTGAGTCGGTCTCAGTCGGAGGGTATTTTGCAAGGTTCTTCATCTAAAAAGGGAGTTGTTTGTCGCTTCCGGAAATTACGCATCCTCTGGGACCACATCTTGCCCACACTCATTCTGGTGTATGCAGATAGAGCTGAGTTGACATTCACAGATCATGAATAAGCGCTTTAGTCAGCCCAGGTAATTGGAGTTGATGAATGACTGATAACGAATTTTGACAAATTGAGATGAACAGGCCCATGTTACTTGTATTTGAATAAAATGAAATTTTAAAACTAGATTTAAAACATTGAAATGATAGCTGCAGTTACAGGTCTCCATTGCTGCTGGAGCTGCTAATGAGCCCTAGGCGAGACCAAGGGTATAGTTTAGCTTGGAGGAGAATACTTTTTGGCAGGCACGGCTATGCAAATTCAATGAAAATATGGGGCCTTTTCATATAATAGCGGGAAAATACAACTATCCGTCCTTTGCACCATATGAGATTTA